TAAGAGTCTTCTCCAGCACCACAGTTCAAAGGCATCAATTCTTTGGCGCTCAGCCTTCTTTGTGGTCCAGCTCTCACAGCCATACCATTGACCGTGGTATCCTTCTGGATCAGCTCAGAGGATTGGGGGTGGGCGGCACTGTGTTGTGCTGGTTCACCTCCTTCCTCCAGGGCCAATTCCAGTCAGTGGTGGTTGGGGAGGAGAGGTCCCGCCCTTGGCCCCTGTTATGTGGGGTGCCACAGGGTTCGGTGCTCTCCCCCCTCCTATTTAACATCTACATGAGGCCGCTGGGTGAGCTCATCTGTTGCCATGGGGTGAGGTATCATCAGTATGCTGATGCTACCCAATTATACATCTCTGCCCCTGACAAATTAAGCGATGCTGTGAATGTCTTATCCCAGTGCCTGGAGGCTGTGAGGGTCTGGATGGGGAACAACAGGCCTTGCCAACAGCCTTGCCAACCTTGCCAGCCTTGCCAACAGCCTTGGGAAGACTGAAAGGCTGTGGGTTCTGGGGCCTTCTGGTGCTAGAGTTATGCCATCTTTGGCACTGAATGGGGTTGCATTGCCCCAGACAGACCCTGTGCGCAATCTGGGGGTCCTGGACTCATGACTCCTGCTCAAAGAGCAGGTGGCAGTCATGGCTAGAAGGGCCTTTGCACAGCTTCGTGTTGTGAGCCAGTTGCGCCCATTCCTAGATCAGAGGGACCTAATCACTGTCACTCATGCCCTGGTCACCTCCCATTTCGATTTCTGTAATGTGTTCTACATGGGGCTGCCCTTGAAGAGTATCCGGAAGCTTCAACTGGTGCAAAATGCAGCGGCGCGGGCAGTTACGTGTGCCCCTAGGGCGGTACACGTTACACCTCTGCTTCACGAGCTGCACTGGTTGCCAGTTTGCTTCCGGGTCCAATTCATGGTGCTGGTTTTGACCTTTAAAGCCCTTCGTGGTATGGGGCCAATTTACCTGAGGGGACCACCTCTCCCCGATTACATCTGCCCATCTCATCAGATCTGGCAGAGAAGGCATGCTGCAGATCCCGTCTGCTAGAGAATTACACTTGGCGGTTCCCAGGAGGCGGGCCTTCTCTGCCATGGCGCCCACCTTGTGGAATCTTCTCCCCTCAGAAGTGAGATTAGCTCCATCCCTCTTAACATTCCATAAGTCCCTCAAGACCTGATTATGTGATCAGGTCTGGGGACCAGGGAGATTTTATGATCGCTCCCTTATTAATTTTATCCCCTCCTGTTTTGTGTGTTTTTACAGTTTTTTTATGTGTAATT